AGCAGACGTAGTTACACTTTAATCTTTTCTAGAACCGTGAGAGAAACAGAGACCAGCTTTCATGTCATTTTTACAAAATCTAGAGTATTTTCAGAAATGCCAACTCTTTTTATAATGGTACTAGAATGGAACCTTGTTTTTGATAGTTTTAAGATTAAGAAATCTGGGATTTGGAGTCAGACAACCTGAGTTCAAGGCTGAGCTCTTGGCTGAGAGAGAAGAAGCAAATTATTTGCAATTCCAGGCCTCCTCCTGGGTGAATGGCAGACAGGGCTGCACGAGGCCTGAATGCCACCACCGTCCATGCGTCCAGCACCAGCCATTCCTGGCTACTGGGCTGCTGTGGTCACCACCAGGTGCTGCTGTCCCAGGGGACACATCCTTTCTGACAGACTCACAAAGATCCCATGGATGGAGCACAGAAGATGCATTTGGACACAGCAGGTCACCGACTGGGAGGTCAGAAGAAACATGGTGCTCTCTCCATTGCCCACACCTGGTCCTTTGCAGGAGACCAGCTCCCACAGGTCCAGGGGTTCCCTCAGGTGGAGGCGGAGTCTGCGAGGAAAAAGGAGAAAACGCGCGGAGACACAGGGGCACTTTTTCAAGAAGTGTCTCACTTTATTATACAGCATGCCCCTTTTTATACCAGGCAGTTTAACCATTGTTCCATTAGTATCAGGGNAGACAAAACATAATCAAACCGATTTTTCCTTCAGTAACCTAGAATTCCCATCATTCAGCTGAAGGCTGTGGTTTTTCAAATGGGGCAAATATTGACATTTGCTTAGATTAGTCCCTTTTAGACAGCCAGTGCTATCCTTATTCCCAAAGTGGCCTTGAAGAGGCGATAAGCTGTATTGATTCATGCCCCAAACCTACGTGCTGACTGCGTCCAGCGACATAGAAATCAAATCAAATACATTTTTGCTGTGATTGTTTTTTAATTGCCACTGTATGCTTCCAAAGGGAATTCAAATCCCATGGTGCATTCCATTCATAAACTGTACACACTCAAGTTAGAGCCGGTCATCCCCAAAGCAATCAGTTTGCCGGGCGCTATAAATATGCTCATCTGCGTCCTGGATTTGGGCGGTCTCGGAGGAAAGCACGCCCAAACATCCTGGTACATGTATCCATCTTATTCAGGGTGAAACAAAGCAAAAAAATGAAATGGTGTGTCCAAACTGAGGTATTTAGATGTTTTGTTGTTGTTACTGAGAACACTAGTTTTTATTCCCTTTCTATAGATTGACATCTTGGAATTCATTTTTTTGATATTAAACTTTTAAGTTATCACACACAGAAAATGAATCACAACAAAATATATACATATAATAGCTAGTCACCTAAATTACATAGAGTTAGAAAATCGTTTTATTTATTCTCTTCAATGAGAACCTGCCTTAATGTTATGTATCTGTAATTCCTGGATGGTACTGGATACAGAATTACTTCATTTTAGTTTATATATAAATGGGAAAAGTAACATCTTCACTGAGTAAAATCAATATTTTAAAAAGAAATTGCAGGAATATATTCCTTAAAAGTTTTGTGCCTGATCAGACGCCCCAAACACGTCTAACACCCATCACCTCTCCCTTCCCCGCCTCCGTCTTGCACACACACACACACACACACACACACACACACACACACGCACACGCACACACACACATACACCTTCCTTCTCTGCACATTCTCTAGAAAAGGTATAATGTGAAATGTTGCCTTCCATGCAGAAACACAAATCATCTATGGTTTTAAAAGTAGTGATTGTCTCAGAATTAGATTTTTAGAAGCAAGAAGATGGCTGAATCGAGTACCATGTATAAAACGGCCTCCTGTTTCCACCTGCAACCTAGTGTTGTGAACGGTTGTTTTGTATAATATTGCAAACAGAACTTACGTGTAGCTCATTATTTAAATAGCTGTAATTCAGACTGCGAGAGGTTGAAAACAAAACTACTAAACTGAATTCTAGAACTTCAATTATTGATGTCAGGTTTCTGAGAAATAAATGGGATTAAAAATCAGTCACACCTAAAGCCATCTTGATGACTAAAACTGATAAAAGTTGAATTTTTGAAAATAATATACTATCAAGTTCAAAAATTGAGGTGGCCTATCTGTATTTAATTTTTTTCGAGGAATTACTATTATAGAGGATGCATCGAAATCCAGGTCCTTCTGCTATTTCTATTTATTCTCTTCACATCAATGGCCCGCAAATCTATTTACTTATCTCAAATTTTTATATCGAAAAAAGAAACACCTGATTCTACACAGTGATTCTTTCCTTCAGTTATGTCTTATTACACANAACATCACACATACGAAAGCTGCTAAGACAGATCTCAACAGTTCTTCCCACAAGAAGAAACATCGTAAGTATGTGAGGTGACAGATGTCACCCAGACTTACTGTGGTGATTGTTTCACAATGCATACAAACATCAAATCATTATGTTGTACGCCTCAAACTAAGATAACGTTGTACGTCAATTACACCTCCACTCAAAAAATAATGAGACTTGGAAGTTAAGAGACAGCAGATGAACTTGTGATTTTTTGCACAATTATTGTAGAATCCAGTTCACACGTGTCTTTTAACAATACCGATCACGTTCACTGGAGGAGGCCGTGGAGGATTGCGGCCCTTTAGAGAAAGGGGGAGCGTAACCGCACACTCTCCAGGACTCGGCACACTGAGCGTGACGCGGGCCTCAGGGCGGCTTCACCAGCACTTGTCTGACCAGCATGTATGGCCTGAGCATTAAGGTTAGAACCTGCTTGAGAAAACTTCCCCAAATGTCCAGGCCACACGGGCAAGGCGAGGGGGGTTGTGCCATCCCTGAAAGGCACGGGGACGCACCAGAGGCCCGTGTCCCCACCTGTGGGCCAGGAGCTGCTAGGGCACCGTTTACTGCCCCTAGCTCTCGCTGACTGAGTGAGTCACTGTGACTTCATCCCCTTATCTGGTTTCATTTTCTGAAAATGATGATGGAATTAACTGCAGGCAGCTCTGTGGATTCGTGACATGGCGTTAACTAACAAGACAGCCTGGTCAGAGCAAGTGTGTGCTTTGGTATTGGCTGAATAGGCTGGGAGAGATGTGCTATGGTCACATTAATAAATGCCATATGTACACAGGAAATATGTGATCACACACTGACGCTCACACGTTGCTTTCATACATTTGTCTCATTTAATTTTATAATTCACTCACAAGTTAAGAACACTTCCCCAGATTTTATAGATGGTGACGTGACATTAACCACTGACTGATACAGACTTAGAAACAGAGCAGAGCCAGAAACTGTTCCTTCTTTTTTCTTTTTTCTAATATTCTTTCCTCTCCACACGGATTGAGATTTTTAATTAATAAAGGAATGATGTTTGATAAAACCTGGCCAGAGTTTTAGAGTTGTTCAGCCTTCTGTGAATTCCTATTGCAGTTAGTTGTAAATTCCTATTTACAGTTAGCACTAATCAACTTACTAATAATAATAACATTTTGCCTCCTCGGGTTATTCTGCAGAATTTAAGAGGGTCCTGTACATACATCTCCTAAAGCACTATATCTACCTTTGGTCATCTTCTGGCGGACCACACAACCCATTCCACACCTTCCCCTATAATACTTGTTTGAAAACCAGGTAGTCGTATGTCCCAGTTACTGTTGAGTCTCTCCCCAACACCACACCAAATTCACTAGGTGAATCTTGACTGTTGACAATGTGACCCTTGAAAACTAGTTAGTATTTCTATCGCCCTGCTTAATGATGAGAACAGAAATACTCACAGGTGCAATTCTGACCGATGAGAAATAAGGGGCATCTGCTGGGGGATGTCTGAGCAATTTTTATTCACTTTTAGAAAAGAACGTGAGGTGGTTAGGACCCTGGACTCTCCCTTTCCCTGCTGGCTTCTGGATACTGTTATTGAGGATGTTATGCTTTTTGCTGCTGCAGCCATCTTGACACTACACATGCAAAGCCCATTTAAAAAAAAAAAGACAGCCCATTAAGCATGGCAGAGAAAAGATGAAAACAAAAGCAGAAAGCATTGCTCTCACTTTTGAGGTGCTGGACTTCCCAACTTTTACTGTGTATAAAGTGCACAGGTTTTGTTTCTTGTAGCCAAAAGCACAGTACTGGAAACATCATGTCTACTTCTTTGCAACAATATAAACTCTGAGTTACTTGAGGACACAGGCTAATCTTTGTAAGTCAGCACAATGCCAAGAATAGAGTGAGTTCTCAAACACTGCTGCTATTGTGCCACGAACGCATGAGTAAGCAACTTCCAGAACAATGGAAGAAAGCACAACCATGCAAACACTGTCACTCTTTAACCATTTTTCATCAATCAGCTAACAATCAGAATTGTCCTTGTAGAAAACTCGAGAGGTAGAAGTTCTGAGAATATCTGTTCCATAGGATTCACAACTTAAGCTTCTTCAAGTGTACAGTAATTGAGGCTGATTGAATTCTACAGAAGTCACTGGGCCTGTTGTGTTTAAGACAGGGCATCGCTCACTTACAGCGGCAGCCTCTTGTCTTCTCCTTTTGGAATGTCTGTTAAGATGGGTCGTCTGCTAGGACGAGGGCGTCAGTTGCTCCCCAGACCCTCTCATCTCTGGGTAGCTCCTGACATGAGCATGACGCCTGGAACCAAGAATAAAATGGAATAAGTGATACACAGGCGGCTTCTTTAAAAGCCCACAAATGATTGATAAGTAAATGGAATTGTTTGGAAGTTTCATCTTTCAGTTGAAAAGAGAATTCAAAACAAAAAGGATTCAATTTTCCACATGGTCAGGGGCGCTGTCTGAGCTTGAGGTGACCCCCCAGACTCTCCTTTGTTCCTNGTGACTAAATTACCTTTAGTGTATAAAATAGCATTATTGTGATATATCTATTAGAAGGGGTGTAAGATCTTCGTTCTACTGGGGGGCATCCAAAGGGGAATTTAAATTCTTTAAGATATAAAGCAGTGTCTGTTTCTCAGTCAGAGCTTCAGAATTGGTCACAATTGCAGTGTGTTTGGCCATGGCAGATGCTGAGGCACAGCTGGCTCCCGGCAGTCCGTCCCACCTTCCCACCAGCTGTGCAACGACCCACCAGTGCAGCCTCATGTTAGACGAAGAAATGCAGCGAACACGGTCTCACAGCTCAGGCTCCCAGCCCTGGGGACTCCAGGACGGTCCTGTCCACTGTGGAAGGAGGGGAGGAACTATCAGACCCGACTTTCCACCTGCTCATAAACAAGAAAAGAGAAATGCTGCACTGAGGCTTGTCCACTCAACAAGCCCTCTGACAAACTCAGATACCGGGGGAACCTGGAGGCCCTTGTAAGCCCCCCTTACTAGCAAACACTCCTTGGCGAGACTTTACTGCCCAGTCTTTGAAGAAGAGCTAGTGGGCAGGGCTGTCAGGAAGGAAGGACGGATGGGAAGTGGGATGAGGGCAGAGCACAGAGTGAAAGGAAGGCCGAGGGAAAGACGCAGCCAGATCCCAAAGGAGACGGTGGGTCCCAGGGGCCGTACTCACCAGGCAGAGCGGGTGACACAGGGGCTGCATACCATTCCTAAGTTGATCTCGTCACCAGCTACCACTGACTATGTCAAAATCAGCTTCTGTGGGAAAACAGCAGACACAGCCCTGGCCGAGGGAACAGGCACTCTGGCTTCCAGCCACAGCTCTGCCATTGGAACCCACATGCGGGGGCTTTGGTCCCCTGGCGGTGATGACCGCCTGCCTTCCTCTGGGCTGTCGTGAAAGAAAGCCACAGCACGTGTTAACCACAGGGACATAAAATAATGCTGGGTAGATGGACCAACTGCTTAAACAAACACGTGCCTGCAGACCTTCACGCATGGCGCTCTTACTGTAGTGACTTGGTAAGCCGAACATGCACCTTGGCAGGGATGTCACGTAACAGAATTATTATTATTATTAACTCCCACCTATTCTGAATTCTTACACAGAAGGAAAACACAGAGCTACGAAAAAGGGATTGTAAGACTGTTCTAACCCAAGACACACATTAGTCAGGCCCTATGCCAAATGCACTTGGCAAGTGGCCTGTCCACTTGTTTCCACCTCAGGCCATGCTGTCACCTGTGGGCAGACACGTTCATCTCACTTCCTCTCTGAACTGATCTGAACTCGAATCCAGGCCTCGGGCTAACGGAGTGTGAATGGACCCAGGTGGCAAGCTCGGTGTTTGTACACCTTACACATGCACACAGGGTGTCCTTCCCACCTGAGCTGTAGCCTAACAGAACAATTGGGGAGGAAATCTATTGTTGAAACCCCAAGGAAAAGCATAATTAGCTGCTGCCAGGTCATGGCTGTGGTTGCAGTGCAGGTATCTTACTGGGGACGAGGCCCACACCTGTGCATCTCATTCTTCAAGGAAGTGACCTCTTCTTCTAAGTATCTCAGTCACGAACTCACAAAGCAGTTCCACCAGCCTTCCCCAGGTGCCTCGTCAGCCGAGCATTTCTCCTGTCAGTGGTATCGCCCAGCTACGCAACACACTTTCATTTCCAAAGCGCTTTCTTTCAAAAACAAGAACAAACCAAAAAAACAAACAACTAAACTGTAGAATTTGGACCCATTCACATTTATTTTCTTCTAATCATTTCTTTCATTTTAAATGCCATTGTGTTTGTCCTTTGCAATCACTGCAAAGTGATTTTGAATCTGTCACCTTTCTTGGATTCTGCTTGCTTACCTTCATAAACAACAACAGGAAATAAAAAAATAAAAAAAAGAAGAAGAAGAAAGGAAAGTTGAATTTGATGTTGGGTCAATGAGGATTTGAATCTTTTATTTACTACCGTAATCACAAAACAGAATTGCTTCCTGCAAATTACACTCATAAATTATCAGCTATTAGGCCACAGAGTGTTGGTACAAAGGTTGATGCTGAATAAAGTTTTAGAGGGAAGGAGAATGTGTAATTTATATGTCACCTGTGGTCACGACATGCCTACTTGTCACTTGCTTAAGTAGCTACGGAGGGATGTGGAAAAGCGAGCTAATAGACCCATGTGGACACCAAAACCTCCCCTTGCAAATGTGATGACTCCAAGAGGCTAGCAGGTGAGCTCTGAGGCCACTTTGCTTCTTTAACTGCAACTCAATTTTCAATTTTCAGCTCCAGGGGACCCAGTGATTTCCTTTCGGAAAGAGAAAACATGAGGCCAAACAGTGAGGCTGTCTCCTTTCAGGCACAGGAATGTCTTGGGCCTCCTGAGGGAACTCTGCAAACAAAGCCCACAGACATGCCCGACCTCTTGATTTCTCCATAAGCAATTGCATATTTATTCCTTTCCAGGGGAGCAGGTGAAATTAACTCATGGATTATGGACAAGGGATTATTTAAATCTATTTTCCTCACTAAGCCCATCATTGGGAGTTTATGAAGACTATTAAGGCCGGGGCTCATTATGCACCCTGCAGGCAAGCTGACCCTTCGTGTGCAAGTCTCTTGAAATAAGGATAACTTCTCTGCATCGTAAATGGGAAAAAATGAATAAAGACAGTCGTTGCTGCTAGCTCTAACATTACATTTTTTCAGTGAAAAGTCTACCAAAGTTAGGAGTAAAAAAACACATGCCATGGAGTGAGAGAATATATTTGTAACTCATAAACAAAGAAGCCTCAACTCGAAGATCAAAAATAAAAATAAGCCCAAGTAAATAAGAATCAGATAGACAACACAAAAAGAAAAAAATTGACAAAAAATTGAATAGGCATTTCATAAAAGAAGAAATCCAAACAGCCAACAAACAAATTAAAACCTGCTCACCTCATTAGCAAATGAGAAAAAAAATATTAAAATTGCAACATGCAATCAACATACACCAATCAAAAGGGCAACTAGTTGACGTGTTTGTGAGCATGGGGACCACTGAGCCCTCTCACATGTCTGTGGGGTGTAAATGGCACTTTGAACAGCAGTGTGACATTACCTATCAAAGTGGATGACAGGCACATGTATGCCCTAAGACCCAGTGCTAGCTGTGTACCCTGGGAAAGTCCTGCGCAATTGTGTCAGGATGCAGGTGAGAAGGTCAGAGCAGCGTGTTGTGTCGCCACCAGCAGGAGTCACCCAATGGCCATGACAACAGACGTATACGCTGCGTAGCAGGCTCCTAGATGGTACAGCAGTAAAAGTAAACAGGCTGCAGCTACACAGGCTGTATGAGTAAGTCCAGGGGCCAGGCCGCAAATGTTTAATGACTGACACACCATCAGTTTCCAATAAGTGGGAGCCATGCCAGACATCAACAGCTCGTCCAGGTCCACTGTTAATTATCAGCGAGCTCTGAATGACTCTCGAGAAATACCACATTGCTCAAAAGGGAAAAAAAAATACTAATACAGTATCATTCTATTTAACAAAATTCAGGAACAAAACACTCACAGTTTGTTTCTTTGGAAAGCATTAATGACTGATAAAATAAAAGCAAGGGAATAATTTCCACAAAGGCAGGGTAGTGGTGACTTAGAAGGGAGACAGTGGCTTCGAAGGCAATAACGTGTTAGTACGTACAATACATGAGGTCAGGGGCTGCTAGGGGCCGGCAATGCTCTCTCTCCAAGGAGTTAGGACGCAGTCACTCACGATAGAGCTATTCTCACAGCTGAGATGCGTTTTATGATGTTTCCTATTATTTACAATAAAAACATACAAACAAGCAAAACGAAAGAAAACCAGGCATACACACACACACACACACACACACACACACACACACACATTTGTGGGCATCTTCTTCTGGCACTGGGCAGATATTATTGAACCATTGTGGTTTAAGGCTACCACTTGTTTTTCCAACATTTCCAAAATCGTTACCCCATTCATACCATTGTGGTGGCCTGCACACCATTTAATTGTCACAGCTACTTTAGAACGTAACCTCCCCAGCCCAGGTGGGGCGTCTTAGGGACCAGTGTGCTGGCATCGACCAGGGGTAACTCGCTAACTTCTCACTAGGACGCTTGCCCTCTGCCCAGAGACAGGTCCAGCTCCAAAATCCGTCTGGAAGGTCGGCGTTCCAGGGCCCGTTCCGGTACCCATCACAGCCTGTGTTTCCGCAAAGCAGATACATACCAGGGTCCTTACGGGGACAGTGACTCAGGTAGCAGGAGTGACAGACAGGAGGGAAGGCCAGCCTGAGTCCAGGCCTAAGGGTGCCTGATACTCAGTCTTGCAGGATGGTGGGCGTTGAACAGCAGAGGCATGTTACCCATTAGCGCCTGTCCCTCACTGGTCAAGGGTGACTCATGGAGGGGTCACATCTGCAGGCTGCACGTGTTCCAGAGCTAGGAAGCTTTCTTTGAGTGGGAATCCAGACAGGAATCAAGAACATGGAATCAGGGCCTGAGTGGAGGCTGTCTTAGGCCGCCCCTTCACAAAGCTTGTGGAAGCTGGGAGGGAACCGGACAGGGCAGAGTGGCCGACAAACCAAGGGTATCTGGGACGCTGGTGTAAGCCTGCATGGGGACTTCGCAGTGTCTATTCACCTGCAATTGTACGAGAGTCTCCATTGCCCCGAGGAACCCCTCAACCTCCACTGTCAGCTCCTATCCTTATTTTGGGGTTGAAGCCACACCGAGCTCTAGAGGTAAACTTGTGACTCAGACCTGGCTATTCTCTGCCAGCGCATCTCCATCTGGGGACGTTTGTTGGAACTGTCAGGAAACAGGAGACACCCTGGTGCTAAAGCTGGGAAAGTGTGTGGCTGGAGCTGCTGGGATCGCCACACAGATGCTGGCCGCCTGAGTGAAGGCAACGCCATGGAAAGGTGGACACAGGAATACATGTCAAGGTCGCCGATAATGTCACGTGTCTGTGCATGACCGTGCCGGGAGCTAACACATCTTAACTGTGTTTTCAAACATAAGCCAATAAATTCAGATTCCTCTCTTTTCCTTACCAATTCTTAAACACCCAAGAAAAACTGGTGTCTAAGATTTGTTAAAATTTGTTTTCAATAAGAATGAGATTTAAATGAACTCAAAATGGACTAAAAATTTGAATGTAAGGCCTGAAACCACAAAACCCCTAGAATAAAAACGTGGGTGGTAAGCGTCTCCCATCTTGGAGATGATTTTTTTGGATTTGACACCAAAAGCAAAGGCAACAAAAATAAACAGGTGGTACCACATCAAACTACAAAGCTTCTGCACAGCACAGGAAACCAACAAAATGAAAAGGCAGCCTACGGAATAGGTGAGAATATTTGCAAATCGCATATCTGCTAAGGAGTTAATATCCACAAATATAAAAACAACTTATACAACTCAATAGCAAAAAGCAGAACAAAACAAAACCTGATTGAAAAATGGGCAGAGGATCTGAATATATATTTTTACAAAGAAGACATACAGATGGCCAACAAGTACATGAAAAGATGCTCAACATCACTAATCATGAGAGAAATGCAAATAAAAACCACAAATAAGATACCACCTGACACCTGTCAGAATGGCATCATCAATAAATCAACGAACAACAAGTGCTGGTGAGGATGTGGAGAAAAGGGAACCCTGGTGCACTGTTGGTGGGACTGCAAACTGGTGCAGCTACTATGGAAAACAGGATGGAGTTTCCTCAAAAAATTAAAAACAGAACTACCTTATGACCCAGTAATTCCACTCCTGGGTATTTATTTGAAGTAAATGAAAATGCTAATTTGAAACGATATTTGCACCCCCATGCTCATTGCAGCATTATTTATAGCAGACAAGATATGGAAGCAATCTAAGTGCCCATCAATGGATGACTGCATTTTAAAAATGTGACATCTATCTACCTATTTATATCTCTATCTCTCTATCTATCAATCATCTATCTATCTATCTATCTATCTATCTATCTTTCAGCCATAAAAAGAATAAAATCTTGCCATTTGCAACATGGATGGATCTGGAGGGCATTATGCTAAGTGGAATAAGTCAGACAGAGAAAGACAAATACCACACATATGATCTCACTTATATGTGGAATCTAAAAAACAAAACAAAACATTGGGTTGTCGGAAAAGACATGATGCATTTTTGTAATGAAAAACATAGAAAAAATACATCATGACTTTTCAGACAACCCAATAAAATAAAAAACAAGCTCACAGATATAAAAACACATTGGTGGTTGTCAGAGGTGGGCGTGGGCGAGTGCGGGCAAAATGGGTCGAAAAGTACCAAAGTCTAATTATGAAATAAACAAGTCATGGGAATATAAAGCCCACCACAGCGACCTGAGTTAACAACATCACACATACGAAAGCTGCTAAGACAGATCTCAACAGTTCTTCCCACAAGAAGAAACATCGTAAGTATGTGAGGTGACAGATGTCACCCAGACTTACTGTGGTGATTGTTTCACAATGCATACAAACATCAAATCATTATGTTGTACGCCTCAAACTAAGATAACGTTGTACGTCAATTACACCTCCACTCAAAAAATAATGAGACTTGGAAGTTAAGAGACAGCAGATGAACTTGTGATTTTTTGCACAATTATTGTAGAATCCAGTT